AATGCACACGCGCTTTGAAAAAAATGAAAAACTAAAAACTTTTGCGATTACGCGATTGTACGAGGGGAATGGGGTACTATTAAAGTATTTACGGTAGATAATATTGTACTTTTACTAGATTTCAGTATTTGTCCAGTACATTTGCCATTTCTCCTTTCAGCTTACCAGAAATCCAAAAATTTTCAAAAATTTCCCCATTAGACCTAAATTATTGATAGTACCGTATTTATAGTATTGATAGCCCACTTTTTGTACTAAATCAGCTTTAAATTATCTGTTATCAGCAGCTTCGCCGTTGCAGCAAAAGAATTTTGGAGGAAAAAACAAAAGAATTCGAAGGAAAGTCGAACCAGAGACCTCTCTCTCTCCCGTCGTTTGAGAGACGCGCGCGTTAACCACTCGGCCATGACATGGCGCAGTGCGATCGATGACTAGCCCATACGATCCGGGTTCGACTTCCGCTCATATCAGCAATTTTGGTTTTTTGATAATTTAAAAGCATTTTGGATAACTATATGGGGTTCTAAGCCAAACAAACTATAAGTTATTTGAAGGGGGACCACTGGGTGCGGAGGAGTAGTGCGCACAGACAGACAGACAAAGAAACAGACAGACAGACAAACAGACAAACAGACAAACAGACAAACAGACAGACAGACAGACGGACAGATAGACAGACAGACGGACAGACGGACATACAGACAAACAGACAGACATAGTTCTTTTATCTAGTCGATAGCTATTCCACTTTGAATGAAGATTCAGTAAATCCAGAGGATTTAGCATTCCTTTCAATCAAGACAAGCGATTCCCAGCGATTTTGTAACATAAACTTATCGAAATCTCAAATTTTAATCGAAAAATGTCTCTCGAAACCCACATATTTTTTCAATTTCCTAATCTCTAGAGTCTAGAGTAGAATTTGACCGTTTAAGCCAAGAATTCTGCGTAGTCTACTCGACTTTTCCCCTCTTTTCCCAAATCTCAATGACTTTTCATCGTTTTCCTTTATAATCTTTCAGAAATGATCTATTTTCTAGAAACGATTGTCTATTCTGTGCTTTGTGCTCGAAAATCTATAAACACAAGCAATCTAGTGCACTGATTACTATTTTTCTTGGCTTAAAGTGCGCCAAAAAGTCTTCGTTTACAGGATTTCGAGAGCACAAAGTACATTGCTTGTACTTTGTGCTCAGAATTCTCCAAACACCCGTTGTCTAGCCGACTGAAATCTCATTTCTCTTGCATAAAAGAGTCATTTCTGTAAGAAAATAGAGAATTCAGCGCCCCAGAAAGCTTGCGTTTAGGGAATTTTTGAGCACAAAGTTCACCAATGATGGAGAAAAATTGTACAAAATTTTTATTCAAATTTTTATGAAAATTCTTTTTCAAATCTTTCTTTTAAACATTAAAATAACAAAAATTGAATATAAATTACAATAATTGAGACGTTAATTTAAAAATACCGACTGGGGCTACCAGTGGTGAATTTATCGCATACTATAATAATAATACTTTATTCAAACGATAAAGTGAAAGAAATCATGAGTGAAAGAAATCAATCACACTTCTTTTTCCTACAACTGAATAAAATAAACAAAAATTTATACAAAAACTAACTTACCAATCAATTGCTATCATTTGACATTTAAAAATTTCATTCTTTCGATATTCGTAACCATTGTCATCCATTGCCATTGCCATTCGTAAATAAGCGTTCGTCCTTTCTGCGTTGAAACCATTTCCCACTAAAGAATTGAACAATCAAACAATCGTTAATCATAAATAGAACAATTCTATAGTTTTAAAAAAGCCAAAAACTGACCGAAAGACAGGAAATCGTTTTTTTTCTCGAATTGACGACATTTCTTTATCTAAAATTTAAAATTTAGACAATAAATGAAAGCAATTAACAAAAAGAACAAAAAGCAAACAATTCTTTTGATAAAATGGGCCTTAGAAATAGAAATGCGATCAAATGCGCACTCGTTTCTGCCAAAAGCAACGGTTTTCAGACAAAAGGGTTAGCTGGCGAGCTAACTTTTATAATAATAATACTTTATTCAAACGATAAAGTGAAAGAAATCATAGAGAAATGCACAGTGATACTTAATCATACAATACATACTGAAATCAATAAGCCAATTACTTACGGCAAAGAGCCACTAGATCTAAAGCATCGATACGTTTCTTGAATATGAAAAGCGACTGAATTTCTCGTATGTCGTTTGGGAGCAAGTTCCATAATCTAGCGGCTCTAACGGGAAATGAATTTGATAAAGAGGCATTGGAAGCAAAGGGAATTTGCAAAAGGAATGAGCCACTTCTGGGCCCTGACCGCGGTTTAAATTTGAAAAAGTCTATAAACAAAGGGCTAATCTGTTTACAACGGAGGATTTTGAAAGTTTCTTTTTCAAATCTTTCTTTTAAACATTAAAATAACAAAAATTGAATATAAATTACAATAATTGAGACGTTAATTTAAAAATACCGACTGGGGCTACCAGTGGTGAATTTATCGCATACACGAAATATATCAATCACAATACAACGACACACACAATACTAGGCTATATCTTAACTTAACCCACGTCATGACAGACGGCTCCCTAACCCTAAGCTCAATGGGGAACTAAATAGCTTTTTTGGTGGTGAAGGGAAGATGACGATGAAGGAGTGGCTTGTCACTTTAAAGAACTGGGGCCACAACCACCAGACTGCCCTCCAGAAAACCTCTCAACCCGAAGGGGGTGACCATGTCGCAGGGAAAGGAAATCCGAAGGGGGTGACCATGTCGCATGTGGGGTTCGAACCCTCGACCTTCCGATTAAGATAAAAGACACTTAACCAGTCAGCCACACGTGCTCCGTGCTAATTACGTGAAAAAAATCGCTTTTTTTCTTACGTAAAAAAATCTTCAATCTTTTTCCACCCCAAAAATTTCCCCAAATTTTTCGTTTCAATTAAATTGCAAAAACAGCAAAAAGAATGAGAAATTTGGGGATTATCGAAAAAAAATACAGAATTTTATTGAGGATTACATTCAATTTTTGTTTTTGAAAAGTCTTTTCCCCAATTTTTTTCTCTAGACTTTTCCTAACTACTCTTTTGATTGCAAAAAAAAAACTAGATTTCAAGGGCTATCATTTGAGATCCAAACGAACACTGTAGCATCTACCAGTGTCGAGAAAAACATGCTTAAAGTTAGACTACGCGACTTTACGCGTGTGGAGTCTCGCTTTGAACGAGTTTTTCTCGACACTGGTTTAAGCTACAGTGTTCGTTTGAATATCAAAAGATAGCCCTGAATTTCAGCTATTTTTTGATGCCAAAGACGCATTTTTTGAAAGTACGGGTGCTTTGAAAAAAATGAAATACTAAAAAACTTTTGCGACTAACCAGTGTCGAGAAAAACACGCTTAAAGTTAGACTACGCGACTATACGTCTGTCTCTTTCTACGCGTTTTTCTCGTTCAATCAAGCTAAAACTTCTTTAGAAAATCTTAGAATATATTGGAGTTATAGCATTTCGAATAAAAAAATCCAAAAAACAAAACTGAGCAAAACCGGAGTCGAACCAGGGTCATCTGGGCTGTAGACGAGAGCCCTCCCTCCTGCGCCACGACCACGCAAAGACTCTGCCAGAAAAACCCGCTCTTAACCGACCTTTTCGGCTAATTTGAATATATCTGAAGTGGAGATGTGAGAAAGGGATCCAATGATTGAAAGGAAGACATCTAATGAGAATTTCGTCCCATTCCCCCTTTTCCCTTCGCTGGCACTTCAACTCCCCTTCTTTTCCCTCAAAGCTGAAATATTTTGTGGGAAATATTCAGATTTCGATTCATTTTCAACCTTTCCTTTTGGTCAGCTCAGCCCTGAGTCACATCTTTTAACATTTTAAACTTAACTGACTTACAGAGTCAGATTAATGTGTCCAACAGATCACTAGGGTCTGTAGGTGGGCCAGATCAAGTAATGCTAAGGTTAGGGCGTCAGAAGACAGCACTAGAGCTGGCTTCAGACTGGCAACCTGCTTTGGAACAGCCCCGGGACAGAAGTCATACTTAGTCTAATAGTAAGCCAAGGCCACATGGACCTAGACTTAGAATTAGCCATAAAATAAGCAAGTAAATAAGGGTAAGAGACGAGCGAGAGCCAGCCATTCAGTAGCCCATGTTTGAACTGATTTATGAGGCGGTTACACGCTGTTTCGAACTGCCTCGGTGGCATAGTGGATAGTATTCAAGATTATCTAGCTGATCGCATTGTTCGCTCAATGGTTCGAGTCCCACTCTCATCATTTTTGCTTGTTTTGAAAAGCCTTTGATTTGCAATATTGAAGTCTTTGAATTATTGATTTTGTCATAAATCTCGCGTTTACAAAGCGCCAAGACTGAGAACAAATTCGGAATCAGCGTAGTCGATTCTATAAGACGATTTCGTTCTGAAAGGCCATTTGAAAGCTAAGCTAAGGCTAAGCTAAGGCTAAGCTAAGGCTAAGCTAAGGCTAAGCTAAGGCTAAGCTAAGGCTAAGCTAAGGCTAAGCTAAGGCTAAGCTAAGGCTAAGCTAAGGCTAAGCTAAGGCTAAGCTAAGGCTAAGCTAAGGCTAAGCTAAGGCTAAGCTAAGGCTAAGCTAAGGCTAAGCTAAGGCTAAGCTAAGGCTAAGCTAAGGCTAAGCTAAGGCTAAGCTAAGGCTAAGCTAAGGCTATCTAGAATATTGAGATTCCTCCAGGATTTCCCCCCATCTTCTTGTCATTTCCATTTCCCCTTTTTCCCCATTTTCCTTTCCAATTTCATTCTACATTTTCCCCTTTCTGATATTCGAATGAATTCTCGAGTATCCCTCTTTTTATTCCCTTCCTTTCCCCACATACTCGGTTCACTGAATATTACGCTATTTTATGAAGTAAATCCTCGTGCTTTCAAAAGTTTACTAAACAAAATGATGATTCCTATCGATTATAAGATTAACTTTTCGATTTTAGATCTCAGATGGGATGTCCGAACCCCAATCGAGTCTCCCTACACACACTGCCACCGGGCACACAACCACTAGGTTTGTACTGAACGATACAGTGGACATAGACTCAAAAAAACGCATCTAGCATCTTCTTTAGACCTTAGAATATATTGTAGTTGTGCTATTTAAAAGCAAAAATTCAAAAATTCAAAGTTGAAGACATTCTGGAGTCGAACCTGAGTGCTGTACTGAACGAGAGCGAGAGACAAACGCGTTACCGACTGCGCTACATTCAGATCATTCCTAGCTAAACGAAAAACCCCTATTAAGCGGGTTTTTTAGCTTTCCAGATTTGGCTTTGTTTAGCTTTACTTACTCTTACAAGGAAAATACCGCAGCTCACCCTTGTCGATCGTTTAATAGCAAAATCGAGGTTCTAGAATTGCTGGTCTCAATGGAGCAAAAATCAGCTGCCTCTGCGCCCGCAAACGCGAGATATCTGGCATAAAAGTTTGCGAAATCTTGCTTAAAAGACTTCTCTCTCGATTTTCTAGTTTTTCTTTTCGAATTTTTTTGTTTAAAGACAAAGCTGAATGCTGGAAACTGAATATTCCGTAAAATTAAGAAAAGCCAAAAGAATTCCTAGCTGAAGACTAGAACTCGAGCAAAAACATCGTCTTGTAGCCAAGATTCTTATCCACTGCGCCATCCATATCCTCTACGCGCGAGAGAAGCCTTTTAAGCGAGATGTCCCAAACATTTTACATTCTGCAACGTCTATTTTTGGCGCAATAGTCTCAAGCAGAAAGGCGTAATGTCCGTTTTGTAGCCAAGACTCTTATCCCCTGCAGAACCAGCTCTTTGACCTTCGCTGAATGCTGGAAACTATGAATATTCCTTAAAATTAAGAAAAGCGAAAAGAATTCCTAGCTGAAGACTCGAACTCAAACAAAAAGATCAACCGTTCGTCTTGTAGCCAAGATTCTTATCCACTGCGCCATTCCTATCCTCTTTTAGAAGCCTTTTAAGCGAGATGTCGCAAACTTTTTATATTCGGAACCTCTATTTTTGGCGAGGGTAAGCTGAGGAACTTCCCTGTTAAGTCTGACTTGCAAAAAGTTTCTGTAAATGGCCAAGCTGTATCTAGATTGGATCATCTAGAACCTAGATCATCTAGAGCCTAGATCGTCTAGAGCCTAGATCATCTAGAGCCTAGATCATCTAGAAACAGAAATTAGCGTGCTCAGCTTTAATCGAAACACAATTTCTCGAAATTAATGATGATCCATCCCTTTCAGCGACACTTCAAGCGAAGCAACGCCAGAGGTGACATCCGAAGAACTATTGCTGCGATTGCAAACGGCACTCGGCGGTAATATCGATGTACAACAGCTATTGGCGCAAATGATCAACACCGGTCCACTTGGAATGCCCCCATTTACTTCATTTGTGCAACCAAAGGTGGGAATTTTAGAAGGGTCTCCAACCGCGGTCATGGCCAAGTGGCTAAGAGTCCAGTATCCTAGGCGAGGGGTCGAGGGTTCGATCCCGCTGACAGGTTTTTTGATTCTTTTTTCTCATTTTTTAAGATCTAAAACGTCTTAAAACTATCGTAATCCAGCTCTAGAATCAAATTTTAATCTTGTAATTGAAAAATTATCTAAATAAAAATGATTTTAGACTGAAACCGATGAACACTTGTTAGCCGTTTTGCAGAATCAAATCGCGAACACAGCAGCTCAGCAACAAATCTGTGAGTGAAGAGAAATATATGAGAGTTGCAAATTTGAAGCTAAAGCCTAGATCTAAAGCTTTAAACAATATCTTTGAACAATAGTTAATTGATGTATACTGAGGTTACCGATTTGGCACACACATAATCACAATTTACACAGAAAGACCTAGAGAATCTTGTATCGTTTGTGAGGATGATGTAGGAGACGATCTAGAAGGAGAAGGCTATCCGTTTTATATGAGCTTGCGGCTTAGACAAGTCTATCTATCCCTGGTTATCCGAATCCAGAGGAGAAAGGGCCTAGGAGGGCCTGGGGGCCTAGGGAGGCCTGGAGGAGACTTTTGTTTCGGTTGGCTCTTTTCGTTCCAGTTTTGGTTTCGGTTCAACCAAAGTCAACCAAAATCTTTTGATTCGGTTCGGTTGAACGGAAAAGATGAGTTTTTCGGTTTTGGTTCAAGAAAAGATGAGTTTTTCGGTTTTGGTTCAAGAAAAGATGAGTTTTTCGGCTCGGTTCGGTTCTGTTCAACCAAAAAGATGAGTTTTTCGGTTTGGTTTTGGTTCAACCAAACTTTCGGCTCGATTCGGTTAACCAAAACCGAAACCGAAACCGAAAAAGAACGTTTCCGGTTCAACCGAAACACAAGTCTACTAAGGGGGACCGGTCTTGGAAACCAGTTCATCATATGGATGCTTACCTACAGCACTTGGTTCAGGGAAGATATCTGACTCATCTGCTGGATTCGAACCAGAGACTAACTGAGCCCAACGTTGCAATTTGGCAGATCTGACGTTGGCAGATCTGGATACAGTGTTTCAACGTGCTTCAATCGAAAGCTTCAAGCAAACCATCATCTTTACTCTCTCAGCGAAAAGCAAAAAGCTTACGACACTCGGGATTCCCAAACCGTCTCCAATCCAATTACTAACCAAGTCCAACGTTGCTTAACGTTGCTTAACGTTGCTTAACTTTGCATCTGACGATCTGACAGGATACCGTGTTTCAAAGGCTGGATTTAAAAATACCCTTTTTCTTTCAGTAGCTTTAACATCAGCAGTCCCTTTCAATCCATCCACGCCGATCGAGACGTCCTTCACCGCGTCCACATCAAAAGTGAGGCTTTTAAAAGAATTTTAAGCTTTAAGATAATGAAAATCTTCATTTAATAACTTATTAGCTTGATCTATCTGATATCTTATCTGATATTTTTGCAGTTAACTCACTCGGAATCTCCATCAACCTCAACTCGACCGGCTTCTCAACCGCAGAGAGCTCAAAAAAGGAAACTCTTCGAATCGGTTCAGGTAAATTTTGTTGATTTTATTAAAATTTACTAATCCAACTATTGTTTTATATTGTTTTTCTTCATTATTTCTTTTCTGAGTTGGAAGTTGATCAAATTTTCATTCTTATTTTGATCTTCTGCACTGGGATTTATCCAATCAAAGTTGAAATCCATAAAAGCTAATCAAAAGCTAAGCAAAAAGCAACTTTTCTTGTTCTTTATGCTCTAGCAAACGTAAACTAATTGGCACACTATATTAGCTAAAAATGCTTTAACTTTCTTTTAAACTCTTACACTTTTGCTTTTGCTTTTTTTTGTTTTAAATTAACTTTTGAAAGTTGTAAAAAATCGAATTATAAAGCTAGAAATTGAAATTTCAGAATTCTTTTTGCTAAAGAATATTTAAAAAATCTGCATAGTGTATAGGGAAATGAGGGAAAGAGGGGGAAAAGGGGAATGTTGCGATGAAAATCGAGGACCCATCGATTCCCCTCAATTTCTTTGCTTTCCCTTAAAAAGAGACCTTAGTTGGCCTTTTTTTCCTTTCTTTCCCTTTCTTTCTTTCCCTATCTTCCCCTTTTCTTCTCCTTTCTTTCCCCTTTCTTTCCCTTTTCCTTCCTTTCTTTCCCTTCTCTTTCCTTTCTTTCTTTCTCTTTCTTTCTCTTCTTTCTCTTCTTTCTCTTCTTTCCCTTCTTTCCCTTCTCTTTCCTTTCTTTCCCTTTCTTTCTTTCTCTTTCTTCCCCCTTCCTTTCCCCTTTCTTTCCCTTTCTTTCCCTTTCTTCCCCTTCTCTTTCTCTTTCTTTCTCTTCCTTTCTCTTTCTTTCCTTTTCTTTCCCTTTCTTTCCTTCTCTTTCCTTTCTTTCCCTTTCTTTCTTTCCCTTCTCTTTCCTTTCTTCCCCTTCTCTTCCCCTTTCTTCCCCTTCTCTTTCTCTTTCTTTCTCTTCCTTTCTCTTTCTTTCCTTCTCTTTCCTTTCTTTCCCTTTCTTTCTTTCCCTTCTCTTTCCTTTCTTTCCCTTCTCTTCCCCTTTCTTTCCCTTTCTTCCCCTTTTCTTCACTCGAATGCAAATGCCGATTCCAGTCAAATGGGGAAAATACTCAGAAAAACTCCAGGATACTTTTATGAATAATTTTTTAAACCTTAAACCCTAGATCTTAAACCTTAGATCTTGTTATCAGGCTAAATTTAAGCTTAACTCTTGAGAATTTAAGCTTAAATCAAACCTAAAAACTTTTGAGTATTCAATGCGCAAGAAAGTTGCGCATTGAATGCTCAAAAGTTTGTGCTTACAGAAAAATCTATTCTAAAATACCCCCCAGCTTTCTTTTGAGTCGCTAAACGCAATCATTCTAGTGCACTGAATTCTCTATTTCTTCCTGAGTTAGCTTTCTTTCTTAAGAAGAGTCAAGTATGCTAGAAAGGGTGTGTTTGCGAATTTCAGAGCATAAAGTACAATAAGACTCGGCCAGAAGTGTTCTTTATGCTCAAAAAATGGTAAACACAATGTTTCTGAGGCACTTAAACCTTTTTAAAGCTTTCGATTTTACTTTTTTATCGAAAAACTGCTCATTCAACTAGCTGTTTACGCAAATTTTCGCAAATTTTCTCTTTCGGGTAAACAATTTTTGTGAAAATCGGGACAAAATGACAAAATGGACAAAAAAGAATCGTTTTTTCGAGTTGATGAGGGGATTTTCGTGTGTTTTGAGGGTCATTTCTTTCTTTTTTTCAATACTATTCATGAATCTCTTTCTTTTTTTCAATACTATTCATCTCTTTGCAAACAATCAACTCATTCCCTTTTTTCAAATCAATTTCAAAATCAATCAACCATTCATAATTAAATGATACACTTTTATAAATTCCCTTTCCTTTTGACGAGCTTTCAAGTGCATTTTCTTTAGATTTAATAATCAAAATTAAAAGCTACACTTTAAACCTCTAATTGCTTTCGTTTCAGTTGAAAATGAAAGCAATTAAAAGCTTTATTTGACGATTGTTATCGATTTGGATAGAAAATCGTGCTATTTCTTTTGTATAACCTATAAAAACAGAGAAAAACAGCCTTAAAGAGTTGTGCGCCGTTTTTATATCGTCAACCTAGAGCCTAGATCATCAAGAATCTAGATCATCTAGAGCCTAGATCATCTAGAATCTAGATCATCTAGAGCCTAGATCATCTAGAATCTAGATCATCTAGAGCCTAGATCATCTAGAATCTAGATCATCTAGAGCCTAGATCATCTAGAATCTAGATCATCTAGAGCCTAGATCATCTAGAGCCTAGATCATCTAGAATCTAGATCATCTAGAGCCTAGATCATCTAGAATCTAGATCATCTAGAGCCTAGATCATCTAGAGCCTAGATCATCTAGAATCTAGATCATCTAGAGCCTAGATCATCTAGAATCTAGATCATCTAGAGCCTAGATCATCTAGAATCTATTAGGTTGTCCAGTTATAAATGCGCGTTTTTAAGATAACAACTCTTTATTTTAAAACCAACAGTTTAACAGCTCAATCAACAATATATTCACCATTTGTTAACAATATTTGTTTCCATCTTCCATGCAAAGAATGAATTCCCTCCGCGTAAAAATTGGCTTGTTTTGAGGCAAAGAAGTCGGCTATCCATTTTTCGACCTCTTGAACTTCTTTGAACTTGTTTCCGGCCAAGTGGCTTCGCATTGAGCGAAATAAATGGTAATCCGAAGGAGAAATATCCGGAGAATATGGCGGATGCGGGAGAGTTTCCCAGCCCAACTCTTCGAGTTTTTCCTGAACAATCTTTGCAACGTGTGGACGGGCGTTATCTTGAATGAACTTTATGTTTGAAGGATCAAGGCCTTTTTGTAGCAATACATTGTTCACTCGTTCCAATTGTTGTGCATACGTTTCACCCGTGATTGTTTGCCCAGGTTTAAGCAGCTCAAAATACCCAATTCCTTGGGAATTCCACCAGACAGTAGGCATTACTTTCTTGTCAAGGAAGTCGGGTTTTGGTGTTGGTATTGGCTCCACACCAGGTTCTAGCCTTTGCCGTTTTCGTGTAGAATTATCATATTGAATCCATTTTTCATCGCAAGTAAGGATTTCATCGTAAAACCCAGTATTTTTTGCCAAACGAAGAAGAATACCCGCCATAGCGACACGAGTAGCTTTATTGGCATTGCTGAGAAGATGAGGACCCATTTCCCTTGTCGGCTTGTTTTCCCCAATTGATTTAAATGCTCGGAAATGGTTTGAGAGCTTACTCTAAATATTTCTGCAAGTTCATGCGTCGTTTGTCGAGGATCCATTTCTATCGCCTGCTTCAGTAGTGCATTATCGATCGCAGGAGGTCGTCGTTGGTGGTCTTCGTCTTCCAAAGATTCATTTCCTTCTCGAAATCGTTGAAACCATCGGCGATCGAAATAGCATCTTCGCCAAATACTTTGCAGAGATCTCGATGGGATTCAACGGCATTTTTGCCCAATTTGAAGTCATAACAAAGACTGGCACGATGACGAAACTTCGTCTCGGTCATTTAAGCACGGAAATTAAATAAAAAATGAATTAGTTTAACGTCAAAGACACGAAAAGTTGTAATAAATAAGAAATCTGAACAACATATAGAGAATAGGGTTTGATAAAATTGTATAGCCCTAAGGTACGCTGTTCAAGAGCAGGCGCGCATTCATAACTGGACAACCTAATAGATCATCTAGAGCCTAGATCATCTAGAGCCTAGATCATCTAGAAACAGAAATTAGCGTGCTCAGCTTTGATCGAAACACAATTTCTCGAAATTGATGATCCGATAAGCCCCTTTTCATAGCCCCTATGAATATTCCTTAAAATTACGAATAGCAAAAAAGAATTCCTAGCTGAAGACTGAGAGCAGAAAGGCGTAATGTCCGCCTTGTAGAGCTCTTATCCACTACGGCACCAGCTTTTTGACGTCCAAGTATAAAAAATAATCTTCAAGTTATTGTAATCGTAGCAGAACAGAATAGACATTGAATTGATGAATAATCTTAAATTCGAAACATTTTAATCTTTAGAAAAATCTAGACCTCTAAATCACTTTTTAAAGTCTTTACCCCACCAAAAACCCACCAAAAAAAGACTTATTCTTTTTCAAAAAAGGATTCCCTCCAATCTGATCAACTTGTGCGTGTTTTCTCTTTTTCTTTTCTCTTTTCTCTTTTCTCTTTTCTCTTTCCTCATTGAGCTGAATCTTTTCTATCAATGTCAAACCTTGACTCTTTTTCATAGAGATCTATCGCTTAAACAAATGTTGAAGAGACTTATAGATTTACAGTAAAAGAAAGAACTCTTTTCCTACTCTTTCCTTACTCTTTTCCTACTCGTTTTTCCATTTTTAACCCTCTCACCTGTACTCGATACTCTTTTTCTCAAAACTTCATCAACTTTGCCCAATTTTCATCCAGTTTTAAATCATTTACTCGTTTTTTTTAACAACCACTAAGCCTTTTTTTGATTTCTTTTTGTTTAATCTTGCTAAAAACTAAACAAAAAACAATAAAAAACAACAAAAACCGCCTTTTTAAATGTTTTAAGCTATTTTTAAGCCATTTACCTGTCACTTTTTCATAAATAAACTCATTTTTTCTTGTTTCTTTGACGAATTAGTTGTAAGAAAGTGTTATTTTAAGATTTTGATTATATTCTTATGTAAAAGAAGATCTTTTCTTTCTTTCTTTAAGGATAGATTTAAAAAGAAAAGATCTTTTTTTAGCTATCCGTCAAATAAAAGGAAAATTTTCATTTTTTTTTTACGTTTTGACTATTTTCTTATGTAAAAAAAGCTCCGATCCGCTAAATAAAAGAAAAAATTTTATCTCTTAGATATCTTTTTATCAAATTTAACCTATTATATCCTGTAGCGCTTTTTGAGTTCTATTTTGAGCAGCTTGCCGATCCGGTTAGCAGTCTTGTCTCTTAAGCGGAAGCTCTAGAGTTCAATGACGCTAGCAAGATCAAAATGTTTCTTTTTCCCCACCAAGTGGGCTTATTTCTTTCACTGAGAAAGAGTTGGCGCATCCAAATTTGAGCTCAAATTGGTTTTTGGTCGTTCAATTTAAATAGTTTTTATATCAATCGATAGAGAGAGAATTTGCGCATCGAATGATACCAAGAACATTGAAATTGAATGATTGTGCGCCGAGATATTTGAGCTCAAAGTTAGATTGCTAAGGAGAAAAGGGGCGGGACGTATATAAGATGTCGCAGTGACCCGGTCCCTTTACCATTGGCAATTTAACTTTAAACTCAAATTTCTTGAGGTTTAGCTGTTCAATTTCAATAGTTTTATATCAATCGATAGAGAAAGACTTGGCGCATCGAATGATACCAAGAACGTTTAAATTCGACAGCCCAACACCAAAATATTTGAGCACAAAGTTGGATTGCCAATGGGAAAAGGGGCGAAGCGTATATAAAAGGTTCGATAGTCGAAATCAGTGCCAGGTTTGGCTTCTGGTTGTGCCAGATTTAGCCTGACTTTACCACAAGCTTGAACTCAAAAAAGCCCCTGAGCCAGAAGCTGGATCTGGCTGACCGAGCTGGCCAGAAGCTAGCCGAGCTGGCCAGAAGCTAGCCGAGCTGGCCAGAAGCTAGCCGAGCTGGCCAGAAGCTAGCCGAGCTGGCCAGAAGCTAGCCGAGCTGGCCAGAAGCTAGCCGAGCTGGCCAGAAGCTAGCCGAGCTGGCCAGAAGCTAGCCGAGCTGGCCAGAAGCTAGCCGAGCTGGCCAGAAGCTAGCCGAGCTGGCCAGAAGCTAGCCGAGCTGGCCAGAAGCTAGCCGAGCTGGCCAGAAGCTAGCCGAGCTGGCCAGAAGCTAGCCGAGCTGGCCAGAAGCTAGCCGAGCTGGCCAGAAGCTAGCCGAGCTGGCCAGAAGCTAGCCGAGCTGGCCAGAAGCTAGCCGAGCTGGCCAGAAGCTAGCCGAGCTGGCCAGAAGCTAGCCGAGCTGGCCAGAAGCTAGCCGAGCTGGCCAGAAGCTAGCCGAGCTGGCCAGAAGCTAGCCGAGCTGGCCAGAAGCTAGCCGAGCTGGCCAGAAGCTAGCCGAGCTGGCCAGAAGCTAGCCGAGCTGGCCAGAAGCTAGCCGAGCTGGCCAGAAGCTAGCCGAGCTGGCCAGAAGCTAGCCGAGCTGGCCAGAAGCTAGCCGAGCCGATGCTGCATATCGTTTTTCAAAACCTTTTCAAATTTAGCTCGAAATTGACCCAATTTAGCCATATAGCTGGCCGGTTAGGTGCCTTGCCTTGCCTTCTCTTAAGCGGAACGTTCAGAGTTCAATTACGCTTGCAAGATCAAAATGTTTTTTTTTAGATGGATTTTTTTTCTTTCGCAACATTTAAGGTAATAGGGTTAATAGAGGGAACGATCACAGTGCCATAAAATTGAATTTTTCGACCTTTAGATCTTATTTACTTTCCTTTGTTTGTATCTTATTATTAGTTTTCAATAAATCTATCTATCTATTTATTACTTTTTATCAACTCTTTAACTAATTTTAAGCTTACAGCTTACAGCTAGTGATTTTTTTAAGCTTACAGCTAGATTAACTTGAATGATTTGATTGATTGAAATGATTTGATTTAAATGATTGATTTAAATGATTGATTCAAATGATTGATTCAAATGATTGATTGAAATGATTGATTGAAATGATTTGATTCAAATGATTGATTCAAATGATTCTAGGGATCATCAACGGGTGGAAGTGGTGCGTCGAGCTCTTCGGGCACTCTTCGCGGTTCTTCCCTTGAGGGAATGAGTCGTGATGAGAGGATTGAAATCGAGGATTTGGAACAGTTTGCGGCACTCTTCAAGAAACAAAGGATCAAATTTGGTGAGTGAAAAGCAAATGCATAAATCCTAGTCATTTCTGAAGCAAAAACAAGAATCCTCGCTTTCTAATCAATTCAATTCCAATCAATTCAATTCTAATCAATTCAATTCAAGTCCAATTCAATTCTAATCAACTCAATTCATCAATTCCAATCAATTCTCTTTAGGTTTCACTCAAGGTGATGTCGGTCAAGCTTTGGGTAAAAGATATGGAACCGATTTCTCACAAACAACAATCAGTCGATTTGAAGCGATGAATCTATCATTCAAGAACATGTGTAAATTGAGGCCATTACTAAAAGAATGGTTGACAGACGCGGAAAGAGCAATTGCTAATGGAGCTTCGGTATCGGGTATGTTTTGAAGAAAACAAAGCTTTTCTAAAGAACTCGAGCAGAAAGGCGTAATGTCCGTCTTGTAGCTAAGCTCTTATCCACTACGGCACCAGCTCTTTGACGTCAAAGTATAAAAAGTAATCTCCAAGTTATTGTAATCACTGCTATTTTATCACTGTTATCATAGAATTTTGAAATCATTTAATAAGAAAGTACAAGGCTTCGTCAATCAAACAAAAAATTTGGTTGGATTTGATATTTTAGGCTGGTTGCTTTTAGGCTGGTTTCTTTTAAGCTGGTTGCTGATTTTTGTGAATAAATTTTGATAAAACAAATAGTTTTTAAAAGTTAACGCTCTAAGCTATCTAAATCTTATTAAAACTTTCTAATTCTGGCAGGTTTATGGTGCTTAGAAATGAGCTGAAAGTTGGCGGAAAAATTTGACTCTGCTGATAATGACCGAAATTTCATTATCATTTATTTATTAGGTAAATGCATAAGAAGACTTTCATTTGTCGACTTTAGCTTTGCTGCTTATATTTACAATTATTCCAATCAAAGAAACACTGTTTAAATATTAGGTAAATGCATAAGAAAATCGGATTTCAACATTTTCATCAATTCCCAACGATAGAAAACGATTTCCAACGAGCTGATGCTATAAACTAGAATCGATGAATGTTATTAACTATTTGAAAGTTGTAAATCTCCTCTACAAAATAGAATAAAACGTGTTTCAATTGATCGAACGATTGAAGAAATTTGCGAGGGCGAAATGCGAGTGAACAAAAAAGGGCAAAAAAAGGAATCGAGTCACTTTAGGGACAAGTTTAGTGTGGTCAGAATACAGTTAGTTTCCCAAAATTGAAGAATGTAGACGTTACGTCCGATCTAGACTCATTCTACAGTACTGGAGAATGAAATATCATATTTGGAAAACGATCGTCACTTTCGCGTGCGCTGAAATGCCTCAAAAAATACGGTATTTCTAAATATTAATATTACCATTGTGTAGCCCTTGAAAAGAGCTTTCAGAAAATGTATAACACTAATACTTTAAACTCAAAGACAAGGAAGTTACAGACGTGCGAATGTGACGATCGTTTTTCAAATATCATATTTCATTGTCCAGTACTGTAGATCGGACGGTGTTGGGCTGTTCCGATCGAGAGTCAATTGAGATCAAACGTCCTAGAATGAAGCCGATCACTCTCAGTTTGGATCGATATGATCGATTGGATCTGATTAAGAGTGATCGGCTTGATTCTAGATCGGAGGTTTGACCTCACTTGACTCTAGATCGGACGGATTTCTAGATGGGAACATATAAAAGCGTTACCAAAAAGACGATTTTGATGAATTTGAGCTTTTTTAAAGACTTGGAGCATTTTCATTAGGGAGATTCGAGCGATTCGAGCAGATTCGAGCCATTCGGGGTGATTCAGGTCAATCGGGCCAATCCGGGCTAATCCGGGCCAATCCGGGCCAATCCGGGCCAATCCGGGCCATTCGGGCCAATCCGGGCCATTCGGGCCAATCCGGGCCATTCGGGGCGATCCCCGATTGATCCGAATTGGCCCGATTCAGGTCAATTGGGCCAATTCGGGCCATTCGGGTCGATCGAGCCAATTCGGGCGATTCGGGCCAATTCGGGCCATCCGCGGCGATTCCCGATTGATCCGAATTGGCCCGATTCAGGTCAATCGGGCCAATTTGGGCCATTCGGGTCGATTCGGACCGATTGGGACCGATTAGAGCTAATTCGGGCCATTTGGTCCAATTCGAGCCAATCCGGGCCATTCGGGGCGATTCCCGATTGACCCGAATTGGCCCGAGTCAGGTCAATCGGGCCAATTCGGGCCGATTCGAGCCGATTCGAGCTGATCGAGCCAATTCGGGCCAATCCAGACCGATTCAGACCGATTCGAGTCAATTCGAGCCAATTCGGGTCGATTCAAACCGATTCAGACGAATCCGAAACCTTCAAACTGTTCATCTCTTTTCTATAAGGTTCTCTGAATCATGTTTATATCAATAATATATTCTGAAATCTATCCAGCCTTCCCCTTCTCGGCGTCACTATGCTCAAACTCGTTATTTTTTTGCCTTAAATTAAAGTCTCCTGCCGCTTGACTTTTCTAGAATGAACGACGAATTTTTTTGAGCACAAAGAACACTTAAAAACCAAGTCAAATCATCAACTAAATCTGTAAATTCGATGAAATTTTCAGAGCTCATCGATCCAGTGCCATCTCCATCATCAAATCTTCCTCTTTCATCTCTTCAGGTATCAAATCAAACTCAAATTTCACCAAAAACCAATCTTTCCTCAAATTCCATTGATTTATGCTGGTCTTCTGAGTCAGATTCTGAGCAAATCACGCATGAATTTCCCCATAATCCTTTGCACAAATCTTTATCGAAATCTTTATCTCAAATCTCTTGCTCCGCTTTCCGCACTAATCCCGTGAATTTGCCGGCTTTAGTGAAGCGATTGGATTTCTCTCCTTTACTCCATTCATCTCCATTACCGGAAAAATTTCGACGATCACCGATTGGATACGATTTACATTTGGAAAGGGATTTATTGTATCAAAATTTGACTCGAAAAAACCCATTCGTAGATTTACGCAGGTTTTGGAAAATATTAAAAGCTAAAAGATGCTTTAAAAGTCCAAAACTGAAAGATTCTAGAGTTCTAGACGAAGAAATGGATACTAGTGAACGATCTAGAATTGCTGATTCATTGAAATACATCTTTTCTACTGCTTATACTGGGAGAAGTCACGAGGCTGGGGGTTTAGAAGAAGTTCAAGAGTTGGAGGAGACGATAAATGAATCAACTTCTCAAATTGAGGCTAATGAAAGGCATACAGCTTCTAGAATTGTTGATTTAATGGAAGAAGATCCGCCGACTAATCCAATCCCTGGTGATCACAGTCTATTAGTGACGAATGATCCAATCGATGAAGATCCGGATTTGTATGAATGGACGAATCACCTATGGAATGGACAGGAGAGACCCTCGAATTCGGAAAGGGGAAACGATTGGAGAACTTTTTGGAATCATAACTCGTGGAATGGTACAGATTTCAATGCGGGTTTAAGATGGAGAGGACGAGGAGGAGAATGGGAAATGAGAGGATGCGGAGAGGGGATGGACGAGTATCGGGTACAAGAATGGCCGACAACGGCTAGTGGAGCGATTGGATGGGAAATGGTGGACACAACTGTTGATCTTTTCGGGGATTTAGCTGTTTTTGATGATGATTAGTGTACTTGATAGAGTGAAATAGAAAGTCAACTATTTGATTATGTTGTTGTTGTGGTTCTTAAAAAGAAACCAACACTTTCATCTGTAATTTCTACTGAATGTTGTGCTAGCTAGTAGCTAGTAGAAGCTAGTAGCTAGTAGAAGCTAGTAGCTAGTAGAAGCTAGTAGCTAGTAGCTAGTAGTAGCTAGTAGCTAGTAGCTAGTAGCTAGTAGTAGCTAGTAGAAGCTAGTAGTAGCTAGTAGAAGCTAGTAGCTAGGTAGCTTAGCTGCTGTGCTAGTAGGTGTAGCATGTAGCTGTGCTAGGAGCTAGTAGCTAGTAGTAGCTAGTAGTAGCTAGTAGCTAGTAGAAGCTAGTAGCTAGTAGTAGCTAGTAGCTAGTAGTAGCTAGTAGCTAGTAGTAGCTAGTAGAAGCTAGTAGAAGCTAGTAGTAGCTAGTAGGAGCTAGTAGTAGCTAGCTACTAGCCAAGATTTGATGACGATTGCTTAGTTGAATTGTTTAGTTGCTTAGTGAATAAGCTTAACGTTGATTTGTGTAACTTCTAGACTTCTAGGCTTCTAGACTTTATAGAACTTTCTATAGAGTCTCTACTCTATAGAATCTGATTTTCTCATTCTATAGAACTTTCTATAGAGTCTCTACTCTATAGAATCTGATTCTCTTCATTCAACCAATCAATCATCAAATTCTGGCTATTAGTTTACAAATACTGATAAATTAATCAATAGAAATTTGAAATGAAACTATTTTTAAGAACCACAACAACCTATGGACTCGAACACTGAATATTGTCTTGTTAAACAGATCAAACAGATCAGACTTGAACGTAATGTTGTGCTTTAGTTAGTAACTAACTTCTTTACTTAGGTAAAGGAGTTAGTTACTAACTTATCAACTTATCAGCCAGACTTATCAACTTTTCTAAAATGATTTCATACGAAAACTCAAGACAAAGTAAAAAGAAGATTATGTTTTAGTTAAAAGAAATTGATTAAGTTGAGGCTTTAAAATAATAGAGTGAAAGAAAACGAAGAAAATGAATATAAAAAGGGGAAACGAACTAAGGAATCTAACTATTTAGCATAAAGCTTAGCAGTAATTCATTGATGTTACAGTAAACAAATAGTTTCTACCGTAAGTTACTGTAGCGTTCAGAGATTGGAAACGTGAGATGTATGGATCTAAGGGTTACGGTAGCTAGAGGAAGTTTAGATCCGGGGCTACGATAACTAGGACATTCTTAAAGCAGCTAGCTGAATAATCTAGCTGGGCTACGGTAGCTAGGCTTCTTAGAGCAGCAAGGCTACGGTAACTAGGACATTCTTAAAGCAGCTGGGCTTCAGTAGCTAGGTTCTCTTACAGCAGCCGGGCTACAGTAGCTAGATCATTCTTAAAGCAGCTGGGCTACGGTAGCTAGGCTTCTTAGAGCAGCCGGGCTACGATAGCTAGGACATTCTTAGGCTATCGACAAGCCCACAAACTCAATACACTTTAAACACATTTATTCACACGAATAATGTCTTACAAACAAACATAAGCGCTCTAAGCTCTAAAGAAAACCGAATATATATGGTAAAAGAATCAAAAATCTAGCTCAGGATTGAAGCCTTGACCTCCCGACTAAGATACAAGCCAGTCGACCAGTTCTAAGCCAGTCGATCAGCTCTAAGCCAATCGATCAGCTCTAAGCCAATCGATCAGCTCTAAGCCAGTCGATCAGCTCTAAGCCAATCGATCAGCTCTAAGCCAGTCGATCAGCTCTAAGCCAGTCGATCAGTTCTAAGCCAGTCGATCATAGCGGCTTTTGTAAAAAAAGCTTTCATTTCACATATTTATTTGTCTTTTTGCTTTAAATTTTCTTTAAATTTTTGAAAGAAATTGCTTTTAATTGGTTAATTTATCGAAATTTATCGAAATTTCTTAAATTTTTTCACTTTTTGCATGCAGATTTCCATTTTTTTTGCTTGTTTGTTGTGGTGAATAAAGGAAAATACAAACTACAAAAGATTATTGATAGATTAAACATGATTAAACGTTTAAATATGTCTAATAGTCAAGTAAATAAAGCGATTTTCTCATTTAAAAAGCCATTTTCTCAAAGATTAACAATACGAAAACTCATTTTTCTCTATTTTCTTTAGAGATTTTGATTTAAACTTAAAAAACTTGACTATTTTGACATGTTTAAACGTGTTTAAACGTGTTTAAACGCTATTTTAAAAGCTAAAGTTTGTTAAAAAGCTATTTATAGCTAATATAGTCTTTAAAAACTATTATAATCAAAGAGAAAATCAAATTTTTAAACAAATTTGTAATCAAATTTGAAATCAAATCAATTTCTAATCAAATTTAGACTAATTCTTGTTATAAATAAGCAAATTTAGCATTCTATTTTCTTAAGAAACTAGACAAAAAAAGCTAAAAATCACTTCAAAACTCAAAAACCTAATTGATAAAAGTTTAAAATTAAAGAATAAACAATAAAAAGAACTGCTCTTGCGTAGTTTTTGAACGACTCGTTACACTTTAAAAGCCTATAACTTCCTCTAGAGACAAGATTTTGGTGAACCTTTTATATCATTGAATAGAGAACATTTCAGGCTTTTAAATGATACCTAATAGAGCTTGATTGGGTAATCCAATCCAAGAAAACCGGAGCCAACAAGATATGTTACTTTGGCTCTTGCGGGTATTTTAAATGACTCGTTACACTTTAAAAGCCTATAACTTCCTCTAGAGACAAGATTTTGGTGAACCTCTTATATTATTGAATAGAGAACATTTCAGGCTTTCAAATGATACTAAATAGAGCTTGATTGGGTAATCCCATCCAAGAAAATCGGAGCCAACTCTGAACCAATGAGACCTATCCAACTCGGGTGTTGTTTCGCATAGTTTGCATGGGAATTAAAAATCCAATCAAGCTCTCTTTGGTATCAATTGAAAGCCTAAAATATTCGCTGTACAATGATAAAAAAAATTAACACAAGTATTGTTTCTAGACAAAGTTATAGGCCTAGACAATTTTGGGCTTTTGCGTAGTTTCCGGGTATTTTGAACGACACGTAAAAGCCTAGAACTTCCTCTAGAGGCAATATTTTGGTGAACCTTTTATATCATTGAATAGAGAACATTTCAGGCTTTCAAATGATACTAAATAGAGCTTGATTGGATAATCCAATCCAAGAAAATCAGAGCCAACTCTGAGCAAATGAGGCCTATCGGGAGCGGGTGTCGTGTCGCCTAGTTTTTATGGGAATTAAAAAACTAATCAAGTTTTATTAGGTATCATTTAAAAGCCTAAAATGTCCTCTATTCGATGATATAAAAAGTTAGCAAAAATCAAATCTCTAGACAAAGTTATCGGTCTTCAAAGTGTGACGAGTCGGTCAAAATACCTGGATTCTTTCAAAATTCTCGGGAATTATACAAGAGCCAAAACAACAGATCTTAAAACCTTTTAGACTGAATTTACTCATTTTTAGCTAAATTTTCATAAAAAAAAACTTAAAAGAGACAATAAAAAGAACACTTTTTGACTGTAATTGAATCATTTTCTGATCAGCTATTGACTTTCGTTCTCAATCATTTACTTTTCCATTTTTCTTTCTTTTTTGAAAGACCAGTATAAATTAAAGTTTCTTAAAAAACAAAGAAAGAGTTACTAAAGATCAAAACTTAATTCAATTTCCAGAATCGAGACGATGAGGGAGAAACGTCAGCCTCAGTTTCACCTCTACTTTCACCCAGCACTTCTGGTTTCTTTTTATTATTATTACAGTACAGTACAGTACAGTACAGTACAGTACAAGTACGTGCAAGTACAGTACAAGTACAGTATAGTTCAGTACAGTACAGTACAGTACAATACAAGTGCATGCAAGTACAGTACAAGTACGTGCAAGTACAGTACAAGTTCGTGCAAGTACAGTACAAGTTCGTGCAAGTACATGCAAGTACAGTACAGTACAGTGCAAGTACGTGCAAGTACATGCAAGTACAGTACAGTACAGTGCAAGTACGTGCAAGTACAGTACAGTACAGTACAGTACAAGACAATACAAGTACAGTACAAGTACGTGCAAGTAAGTACAGTACAGTACAGTACAAGACAATACAAGTATAGTACAAGTACGTGCAAGTACAGTACAGTACAGTACAAGTACAGTACAAGTTCGTCCAAGTACGTACAAGTACTTACAAGTCCAGTACAGTACAGTACAAGTACAGTACAAGTACGTGCAAGTATAGTGCAGTACAGTACCGTACAGTAAAAGTACAGTAAAAGTACGTGCAAGTACAGTACCGTACAGTACAAGTACGTGCAAGTACAGTACGGTATAGTACAAGTACGTGCAAGTACAGTACGGTATAGTACAAGTACGTGCAAGTACAGTACAGTACAGTACAGTACAAGTACGTACAAGTACTTACAAGTACAGTACAGTTCAGTATTTTTTTTAATGTTTTTTATGAATTTTAAACACTTTACAAATTAAATTATCTCAAGAATACTTATTAAATAGCTTTTTTTATAATCTAATCATTTCATTTTAAGGCACATCTCCGTTAAAAAAACGCCGAAAACGAACGAATCTTGACCTACAACAGAGACAAGTTTTGGATATTGTTTTCAAGTAATTTTTTTTTTAATTTTATTATAATTATATAAAGGATTTTAAAGATTAAGAGAAAATTAATAAATTCTAGAAGTTAAAGACAAGACTAGCAATCTACTTTTGATTTTAGAATGAATCCCCGTCCTAGTCACGAACATATGGCTGAGCTAGCTGATCAGTTGAAGTTGGAAAGAGATGTGAGTTCGCCTGGCAAGAGAATTATCGATTTTAGACTAGAAGAAAACTTTAAACATATTGTAAAGGCTTTTTGCTTTGTTCTAATCAATCGGTTTACTTGAAAAGGAAACGATTCTACAGGATCACCGCCAATTCTGACGACAACTTTTTGGAAAAGTCTTTGTACGGTCTCATTCAAGGACTTGTAAAATGAGTTGTATGCATCCGATTGTGAAGCTTTTTGCAGCTAAATATAGCCAAGATTTAGGGCTACAATTCTATATATAACACTTAAGACTTTGAAAGAAATCAAGCTAAATAACTACTTCGAAAAGTTGTCGTTAGAATTCGTGGTGATTCATCAATCTCATTTAGGGATCTTGCTCATTCAATGACTTGTAAAATGAGTTGTATGCATCTGATTGAGAAGCTTTTAGTAGATAAATGTAGCCAAGATTCAGGGCTACAATGCTATATACAACATTTGATACTTTGAAAGAAATTAAGCAGCACCTCTGGAAATTTGAAAATGGCAGCGCGATAGAAATCGTGCTCATTCAAGGACTTGTAAAATGAGTTGTATGCATCCGATTGTGAAGCTTTTAGTAGATAAATATAGCCAAGATTTAGGGCTACAATTCTATATATAAGACTTGATTAAAAAAAAAAAAAAAAAAACACTTCAAAATTTAAAAAATGGAAAAAAAAAAAAAAAAAAAAAAAAAAAAATCCAAATAAAAAAATAAAAAAAAAATTAATTTTATAAAAAACATAAATAAAAATTTTAAAAAAAAAATAAAAAAAAAATTTAGAAAAAAAAAAATATAAAAAAAATTGATACTTTGAAAGAAATCAAGCTAAATAACTACTTCGAAAAGTTGCCGTTAGAATTCGCGGTGATTCATCAATCTCATTCCAGGTGGTGCGCGTTTGGTTCTGCAATCGGCGTCAGAAAATGCGAAAAGTGGATGATGTGCCTGGAGGATTCGATCCATCAATGATTCAATCACTATTCTCAAGCGTAAACCAATCGGCGATATCACCAAAAAGAGAGGGATCAGAATCGCCGGGTTTAGAGATCGATGAAGCTGATGATGGTTAAAGGATTGAAAATTTTCTAAACGCACTCTTTCTAGCGCACTGTAATGCTCAATTTTCTTAGACAAGCAAGCCATCAATGCACCAGAAAGAATGCGTTTATGAGATCTTCAAAAAAGTACACGAAATTTCTCGATTTTTGGTTTAAAACTGGACATAAAACTGGATTTTCAAAAAGCTAAAAGTGCCTGTTTTGTTTTTTTTCTTATTTTCTTTTCATTTCTTTTTATTTCTTCTCTTTATTACCTCATTTTTCTTTGTTTTATTCGATTTTATTCGATTTTCGTCGATTTTAATCGATTTTATTCGATTTTATTCGATTTAAATCCAAGAAAACTACGAGAAATTCGATTTTCTTTAAAGAAATTCTCATTTTGAACGCTTTTTTCTTCAAATTTGTTTCAAATTCAATTCAATTTCAATTCAATTTCAATTCAAATTGAAGAATTTGAAGCTTTTCACACTGCCTCTCCCCCTTTTCACCCTTTCACCAACTCAAATACAGCCTTTTTTCGCATTTTTCTACTGTTTTTTCAACAAATTTCATTTTGCATTTCGTTTTCTTTGCGATTTTCTGATTTTCGGCCATTTTTCCTTTGTGATTTGTTAGATTTTTGATTTTTCTTTTTTCTTTTATTCTTTTATTCTTCTTTTTCTTCTTTTCTCTTAGTTCCTATTGAGATTTTTGATGGAAATTCTTTTTTTGATTCATTTGATTCATTTGATTCGTTTACCTGTGAAATGTCCCCTTCTAACTAGTCGAAAAATTTCGAAATCCCGTTTGTTTTTGAGATATTTTATATCGCCCGGTTGTCATTTATTCAATTTCGGTGTTATTTTGGGGAATTTTTGGGATACTGTAGAAAGGAATGTAGAAAAAACGAAAGAAAGAGAGAGAAAGACGGCGGAGATCGGCTTCTTAAGGCGAAACTTGACCCGACCATCCCTCTGGAGACCAGCCGAGTGGTTAGTGCCCTCGACTAGCGCCCGAGACCACCACCCATCAGGTCCTGGTTCGACCCCGGTCCCTGCACATTTTGTCGAAAAACTAGAAAAAATGGACTTCGGCTTCTTAAGGCGAAACTTGACCGGGTCCCCACTGCCCCCTGATGGCCGAGTGGTTAGCATCCTCGACCACGAGCCCCGCTGCTGCTCGACCAGGGCCTGGTTCGACCCCCGCTGCTGCTCATTTTCTAGAAAAAATGGACGTCGGCTTCTTAAGGCGAAACTTGACCGGGTCCTCACGGGCCCCCGATAGCCGAGTGGTTAGCATCCTCGATCACCACCTGTCAGGTCCTGGTTCGACCCCCGCTGCTGCTTCTAGAAAAAATGGGCGTCGGCTTCTTAAGGCAAAACTTGACCCGGTCGTCACCGCCCCCCGATAGCCTAGTGGTCAGCGCCCTCGACCACGACCCGTCAGGTCCTGGTTCGAGCCCCCGCTGCTGCTCATTTTGTAGAAAAACTAGAAAAATGGTTGTCGGCTTCTTAAGGTGAAACTTGACCGGGTCATGACCGCCCCGATAGCCTAATGGTTAGGCCCTTGACCACCAACCGTTAGGACCTGGTTCGATCCCCCCCCATCCATCAAACTCGTCTTTTTCCACAGTATCCCAAACTCTACTTCATGACATTTTTGAGTATTTCCCTAATCACAAAACCCCGAGTTACTCCCCTCACAAATTTCTACTTACCCAGTGGTTTTTGTTTTGGTTCTTTCTTATGTCAAGTCATAGTCATTTTTATTACCCTAAAATTTCAGGGCTCAATGCTCAATGACCCAATTTTTCATTCATTCGCATTTCGTTGAAATAGGATTTTTCTTCTTCAATAAAAAAACGAATCTTTTCGATTTTCTTTTGTTGCTTTTTTTGATTTTCTATATTTATGAGATAAATGTTGCTATTAGGCTAAAAAAAACGATTAAAAACAGGCAATGAGGGAAGATTTCTGAAATTAAATAGAAAAAAAGAGAACTTTATTAGACAAGAAATTAGAAAAATAAAAAATTTCAGAAAAATTTCTGAAAAACAAGCATTATTGAATTCAAAAAAATGAGAAAATGACGAAAATCTTTGCTTTTTTGGATTTTAGCGTACCTTCTTTCGATTTACTGCTATTAATAGTGAATTTTTGTACTTCATTTTAGACCTTTAATGTGCCACTCTTTGAAGATCAGAGATTGCCGATGAAATTATGACATAAATTTGGTTAATGCGAACTTAAAGAGGTGTTAGCAAAAGCGGTAAATTATTTGCACTTTTCAACACACTTTTCTACCAACTCTGATTGATCATTTCTAGTTTTTTCTTTTTTCTTGTACGATGTTCGCTGTTTTGCGGCCTTCACCAGCTCTGAAGAGCTGGTGAATGGTAATGGCTGGTGAATGGTAATGGCCGGTGGATTGTAGTGGCTGGTGAACGGCAATGGCCGGTGAATGACAATGGTCGATGAATGGTGAATGGTAATGGCCGGTGAATGGTGAATGGCCGGTGAACGGCAATGGCCGGTGGATGGTAATGGCCGGTGAACGGCAATGACCGGTGAACGGCAATGGCCAGTGAATGGCAATGGTCGGTGAACGGTAATGGCCAGTGAACGGCAATGACCGGTGAACGGTAATGGCCAGTGGACGGCAATGGTCGGTGAACGGTAATGGCCAGTGAACGGCAATGGCTGGTGAACGGTAATGGCTGGTGAACGGTAATGGCTAGTGAACGGCAATGGTCGGTGAACGGTAATGGCCAGTGGACGGTAATGGTCGGTGAACGGTAATGGCCAGTGGACGGCAATTGCCGGTAAATGGTGAATGGCAAAATCGATATAGAGAGTAAAAAAAGCCTGGGTACAGAAAAATGACTGCCTTTTCAAGGCTGTATAGCTAAATACCTGTTTTCTAATTTGTTTCCGAGTTGAAAACAGTGAGAACTAAAATTGTGAAGAAACTGATGGTTGGTTAGAAGTTGGTTGGTTAGAAAACGTTGGTTAGAAGTGGGGGAAAAGTGATTTGTTAATTTTCATAGGCGTGGATTTGGCGCAAAGGATTTTGGGGTGAAAACAGGCACTAGTCGCGGCACTAGCACCTCAACTTTGATAGACTTGAGCTAAAGGATGTTCGAATTTGATCTGCTTTTCAGTTTAGTGCGTTTACGTGTTCTTAAACTGGTTTTCTTGTAGAAATCTTCGATCTTTGTTAAAGCTGAATCAACTTTAGAGTTTTTTCGATCACTTTCTCGTGCGGTCACTCTCTTAGAACTTCTAGCTACCGTAGTCGTCCTCAATCTATCGCTTTACAATATTATTTTCATTTTTATAGTCTTTATGTGATCAGTTACAGGCTGATGGTAGCGTTTTATCACTGCCGAAAGCTTAGCTAAGTAATAATATCAAGATAATCGACCTAATAGCTATAAAAACTACATAGTATTGGTTAAAGGTAATGTAAAAATATAAAGATTAGTTTTATAATGTGAAGATAAACATTGGGATTACGGGATTACAGGGTTACGGTAGCCAGCAGGCGAAAAAGCCAAGCTTTGCCCACTTTTTTTGGCTTTTGACTTGGTTTGGCCTGGATTTTGCGGCCATTTGAAAAGAATTGATGTGGGGCCAACAGTACGATACACTACTCTGGGAATTCCTTTGTCATTTTTCTCACCTCTCATGTGATGGTCGAGCGAAATGCCCAGAAACAGTTCTTCTCACGCCGAGCATCGCGATTCTCATCTCCTCTTCGACGATCTCGCCGTACCGAATGTTGAAAGACTTAAGATTGTCTTTTAAAGGACAAAAACATTAACGACCTCTTGCGTGGCTACCCGGTTTTGAAAGAATCTAGGTATTTTGGAAAAATCCAGGTATTTTGGACAATTCTTTATGAAACATGAACACATGAAAAAGTGCAAAATTAGAGGTTTGGCTTGGCTTGGCTTGGATTGGCTTGGCTTGGCTTGGCTTGGCTTGGCTTGGGTTGGCTTGGCTTGGGTTGGATTGGCTTGGATTGGCTTGGCTTGGCTTGGCTTGGCTTGGCTTGGGTTGGCTTGGCTTGGGTTGGATTGGCTTGGATTGGCTTGGCTTGGCTTGGCTTGGCTTGGCTTGGGTTGGATTGGCTTGGCTTGGCTTGGCTTGGCTTGGGCTGGCTTGGATTGGCTTGGCTTGGCTTGGATTGGCTTGGATTGGCTTGGCTTGGCTTGGGTTGGATTGGATTGGGTTGGGTTGGGTTGGCTTGGCTTGGCTTGGCTCTTCGTCCAGCTCTGGTAGCCAGTTCCGGTAGCGGGAAACGCTTTAGAGAAGTTACATCGATTTCTATTAAAGTAAAAATTCGAATCCCTTTTTCTGTATCTATAAAACAACAGAATTGCGTTTTTTAAAATCATAGACATTTCTCTTTTACTCTTTGTTTACAAACGATTCTCTGAAAAAGGCTGAAAAAGTGGAGCCAATTTGTTTTTTTTTGGGAATTTTGATAAACTATCAGTTTACGAATTGATAAAATCGCTTTTAAAAGAGAAAATTCTCTAAATTTATATTTTATAGATAGTTTTAAAGATAAAATTATAGATTTACAATAAAAGATGTTGCTAGTGTTTGCGACAATGATAATCGGTGCTTTGGCGAGTGGAGGAGAGATTGAGGTATCCTCTAGACTCTTCTAAACTCTTCTAAACTATTCTAAACTCCTCTAAACTCTAAACTAATCGATTCTAATCTTTTCTTTAGATCTTTATTGATTTTAAATCTTTTTAGATTCCTGAGGATGTGGCTGTGAGAACGGTTGGAGTAAAGGGGAAACTCATGTGTGGGACAAAAGAACTCCAAGGTGAGTGACAGAAATTTGACAAGCATTAGCTTCCCTCTCGTTCTTCTTGTTCGCAAACTCTTCTTTATAAATGAAGCAAATCAATGTCTGCTTTAATTTAAATAAAAATAACTATTCTATTTAGCTCATTTTTAGGAGAATTTGAAGCTTTAAGCTCAAATCGAAACTTTAAAAGTTTCTCTTTG